CGGGCCTTCGCGGGGGCCGCGGTTGGGGAGGGGGGGGGGTGGCGTTGGCGGTGTCGCTAGACATCGTCAACGCATTCAACACCCTCCCCTGGGGCCGGGTGGGGGAGGCGCTGGAATACTTCCGGCTGCCCCCCTACCTGGTCGCCATAATCTATGATTACTTCCGGGAGAGGAGAGTAGAGTACTCCGACAGGGACGGTAGCACATGCGGGGTGACGGTGTCGTGCGGGGTCCCGCAGGGGTCCGTCTTGGGCCCCCTGCTCTGGATCCTGACGTACGATGTCGTCCTCCGCACCGCTCTCCCGCCGGGAGCCGAGATCGTGTGCTACGCGGATGACACGCTGGTGCTCGCGGCGGGGGCCGACTGGTGGGAGGCGGTTGGGGCCGCGTCCCGCGCGACCTCGCGTGTCGTGGGCTCCGTGAGGGCCCTGGGCCTGGAGGTGGCCCCCCGGAAGACAGAATGCATCTTCTTCCACAACGGGAGGCGCGGGGTGCCCCCTCCGGCCTGGGTCCTTGTCGGGACGGACCACGTCCGGGTGACCCCCACGATCCGGTATCTGGGGCTAACCCTGGACGGCCGTTGGGATTTCGGCGCGCACTTTGCGGCGCTGGCCCCCAGAGTTGGCGCGATGGCGGGCTCGATCGCCCGCCTAATGCCCAATCTGGGTGGTCCGGGTGACTCCGTGCGTCGTATGTACGCGGGCGCCGTCATGTCCCGCGTGATGTATGGCGCCCCGATCTGGGCGGGGGAGGCGGAGAGAAGGGGCAGCGTACGAAGGGCGCTGTACGCTGTACAGCGGAAGCTCCTCCTCCACCTCGCGCGCGCGTACAGGACGGTGTCTCTCGCGGCGGCCGCGGCCCTCGCGGGTGTGCTCCCGGCCGACCTTGCGGCCGGTGTGAGCAAGCGCTCGTACGATCGAGTGCGAGCGCTAAGGGGCAGGGGAGCCGCCCCTGCCCCCCGGGCCGTGGACGCCATCCGGGAGGAAGAGAGGCGCCGGGCGTACGGCCTCTGGGATCTCCGCTTGGCGGACCCCAGGGGGTTTGGCACCTGGACCACGACGGCCCTTGCGCCCTACCTACAGCAGTGGGCCGATAGGGCGTGGGGTGGCCTGTCCTTCAGGATGACGCAGGTGTTCACCGGGCACGGTTGCTTCGGTGACTACC